AGTTTGTTGAATCTGACGTGACATGTTCGTACGAACCCTTTGTACGAACAAAAGTAAGAGAAATTTAGGAGAAGAATACGAACGTGTTCTTGCATGAGGCCCAATATCTGCAATACACTTGTAAATTTGTGTGTCAAAGTTAAATGTTTTGTTTATTTATTTGTGTGTGTGTGTGTGTTTGTTTGTTTGTTTGTTTGTTTTATTTTTCTTCTTTATTAATGAAACAAGCTTGACAGAATAGGTCTATACAAATATTTTGTATAAAATGCATCAATCTTTTCTGTCACTTTGTCTTAAAAATATAAATATAGATATAAATATATATAAATATAGATCATGCAGTAAATGTGCAGATTAACTGGAACATTTTTTTACAAATACAAGTGTAAAAAAAGGCTAAAGAAATAAGTTAAAACAAAAAGAAAAACTATTTATTTATTTATTTATTTATTTAATAAAAGAAAGTGAGCACATGGACTGTTGTGTGCATGAAATATAATATATAGGAATGGATTGTTCCTTTGCCCGTACTCTTCTGGGACCATGTCAAAGAGTGCGCAGCTCAAAAGTTGGACAAAATTTTAAAAGTCGAAAACCACATGTAAAACCGTGGGCAGTGCACACTTTTCCTTTATTCCAACGAACATGAAACTGAGTGCACCTGAGACATCTCCCCTGACAGGCTTCCATTTAATTATGAGTTTGATTCTCTTCAGATTTTCACCTCTGCGCGATCAGAAATTATATCTAGATGCAGGGAAATGATGAAACAAATGAAGAACGAGAGAGAAAAACTGTGAAAATATAGTAGGTTGTAAAAATGTATATTTGCCACATGCAAAGGAATAATGATTGTGGGTGGGTGTGTCTGCATGCGCGCATGTGAAACTGCTGTCTTCACCAGCGCATGAGGCTGAGATATTTTCGCCTTTAGATGTGATAATAACTTACTGTAAACACACAGAGGAAGGAACTTATGAGTTTTGTAGCTAGAACATAGAACTTGTTTTATTTGTTGGTGAAGAAGAACCATTGCAGTGAGTTTCTGCCGCAAGGTTGTAGATTTATATATTAGAGGTCTCTCATGCGTGGTTCAGCTCAGGAACTATAGCGACCTAAAATACCTGATTGTAATTTGTTTGTTCGATGTGATCAAAAAACACTCTGCCCTCAATTCTTCGTAGTGATACTCTGCCCTCAATTCTTCGTAGTGATGTCATCCTGCAGCGCAACAGCTGACATGGTTCCACAAATTACACACAACTTTACGCAGCAATTAATGAATATATACTGTACTGTCTGCATGTTGTGGAGCTGAGGAATCAACACAAATGAGCTGTTCTGAATATATCTACAGACCTGACAAAGTTTTTTTCTCAGTGAGAATTAAAATGTTTTCTAAGACAATTCACACACATTTTATTCTGCTCAGCTGTGTGTGCGCTTCGCAGGCTGCGCTCTCTGATGTGTTTATCTACATGACAAAAATATGAAACCTTTACAGCAGGGGTGTCAGACTCATTTTCACTGAGGACCACATGAGCGTTATGGTGGCCCTCGAAGGGCCACTTGTAATGAACTTTGACATTTCATGTTTAACTTTGACTGAACAGTGTTTAGTCAAAACAGACATGTCCTCTTCTAAACACTGATAAGAACTAAGTGTATGACCTACTAAATCTGAAATAAATATGTAATTATTATTAAATTATTATTATTATTAAAAGTAAAACAAATAAAGTTTTACTCACTGAAGAGTTTCTATGGCAGATTTAGTTTATGTTTGATGGTGACTTTAAAGCAGCTTATTTTCAGAC